TTCACTGTATTTGAGGTTGGTATAATTTGTGCAGGGGAAGGGAAAAAAACACATCGTTTAAATAGGGATACACGTGGATCCATTGAAACAATGAGATGTACAAGTCATTATGTGGAAAAACGAACTTTACAACTTTGGGGGTGGGGGGGATTAGGTGGGGGGGGCAGGAGGAGGATGGGATGGGGAAACAAAGGAGGAAGCTACAATGATTGATAAGAAATGTACTCAGGATGTGAAGAGTAAACAAAGGAGGAGGTTGCAATGCTTGATAAAAAATGTACTCATTATCTTGCCCATGTAATTGTAACCCCTCTGTACAGTATGTTCACCAAAAAATAAAAATAAAAATTAAAAAAAAGAAATGTCCTCATTATCTTGCCCATGTCATTATAACCCCTTTGTACAGTTTTCTCACAATAAATAAAAAAGACATATCCTTGTGACAGCCTCTCCTGGACTAAAGATGCAGGGTTGTTATTTTTCTTGAGGACCACTGCCCCTCAGAAAGCACTGAGCACACTGAAGCAGTATTCATAGGTATCTTCTACTCTTGGAAGTATTGGAGTGGTGTTGCAGTGTGTGTGGTGGCTGGTGCAGGGGGGGGGAGGGGGGGAGGGTTACATCTTTTATCAACTCCCTCTTGAGTAGATTGTTCTTTTGGGAATATGCTCAACTCCCTATAGCTTTGAATAAATTGATAGCCAAAAACCTATGCTTTATTTTGTAATGTTCAAGCATGTAATACATTTGAATCTCCTGAGTCAGGAAGTACAAATCCAAGTGGTTTTTTTTTTTAACAACTCACCATCTTTAAGCAGTTCTGCGTGTAAGTTAAAGTCAAATTTCAGATGTTATTAAAATATTTCAAGCTAAGCAAAAACAGTTACTTCTTATTTTATGCCGATGAACAGGAGAATTGGGTTAGTTTAAAATTGTATTCATTTATTATGCATTTTATCATGGGAATTTCATATTCCCATACTATTCTTACGTAACAACAAACAATCCTGCATAAGTGTTACAAACACTTCTTCGTATAAAACTTGGAACCTGAATTTTTTTATCTCATGGATGAAATCTTTTTTTTAATATATCTATATCTATATATTTTATTGTAAAGATACTGTACAAAGTTATGTGAGTGAGGTAATGAGTACATTTCCTATGGAGCATTATTATCCCCTCCTTTGTTTTCCCCTATGTTCCCTTCACTCTCCACCTCCCCCAACTTCTCTCTCCCACCCTCCCTCTGAAGGTGTAAAGTTCATCTTAAAGCTGTCAGCACAACCATGTTTATGGCATATCATATGTTTATCACCATAGCTAAGATATGGAATCAACCCAGAAACCCCTCAGTAGATGAATAGATCAAGAAAATGTGATATACATATATATATATATATATGCATATATATATATATATATATATATATGAATTCTATGTGTCTATCAGAAAGAATGATACTGTCCTATTTGTTAGGAAATGAAAGACTAGGAAAAAATCATATTAAGTGAAGTAAGCCAGGCCCAAAGAAACATAAGTCCCATGGTTTCCCTGATTTGAAATAACTATTATATGTCTAGGACAAACAGAAAAGGTGAGAAACTATGCACATATGACCATATAAGATGATACTCAATGAAATGAACCACAAGAAAGGGACAGGAGAGGTTTAACCTTTGTTGCTGTGTTCTTAATGTACTTATACTGTGTGATTTTTTTTGTTTCTTTTGTATGTTCTCCTCCCATGGTTTAACCCCTGTTTTCACTGTATTTGACTCCAATGCCCTGCATCTTGAATATGCATTTTTCTAAATGGAAGAGGGGAAGGGTAATAACAGAATGCTGAAATAAGGATACAGGCTGACACACTGTCACAATGAGACATACAAGGCACTATGTTGAAATCTTTTTAACCTTAGTTCTGATGTCAGATCAGGACTTCCAAACACTATTCCCTAAAAGTTGATTAGAACAAGGTTAACTATAATATAATTTTCAATATATCCTTAAATGTGAATGGTTGGGATTTTATTTCTATACAGGAGAAGGAGTATCAGAAGAAAACAGTAACAATGATCAGTCTTAATGTTTCTATTAAGATTAAATCTCACATTACCCGCCTAATATCTGTCCCTTTTGAGTGGTCAAAGATTATATAATATTGATAAATTCTCTAGTTTACTTTGGGTAATAATATTAGATGAGATTCCCTACTAATGGTAATCAGTCTATAGATCCATCAGCAGATGGATCTGATGGCAGAGACGAGCATATAATGTTTGCCTAGAGACCAATTGGGACAAATCTGACACTGTTTATCAGAGTTCAAAGATAAAATGAGTCATTCCTCACTGGAGGGAGTGAGGAAAACTTGGAGACAAAAAGATAGAAAGAGACAGAAGATACCAGAGGAGGGAAAGATGAAAATACTGGAGATGATTTTAAACAGATGGTGGAAAGTAGGATTGAAATTATTTAAGGGAGGAGAATACAGTAATAAACTTGAATGCCTATCCTACCAAAAAAAAAAAAAAAACCAAGAAAATTGAGAGAAGGGGTGAAATAATGACAATTACAAGAAAATGATGAAAAGGTGACATTGATCAAGATGAATTAATTATATTCATAAACTGTTCAATGGCAACTTACTTGTACAACTACTTAAAGGTAAGGGCTGGGAAGGTGGCTCAGTGGTAGAGCTCTTGCCTTGCATGCCTGAGGCCCTGAGTTCGATTCCTCAGCACCACATAAGCAAAAAGAAAAAAGCCAGAAGTGGCGCTGTGGCTCAAGTGGTAGAGTGCTAGCCTTGAACTGAAGAACTGAGGGATAGTGCTCAGTCCCAGAGTACAGGCCCCATGACTGGACCCCAAAAAAAATTTAAAAAAAAAGGTAATAAAAAAGGAATTTAAGGCCTCTAAGAGACAGAGAAGACATTATATATTTTTCCATAAACTTGCAGTTAATGACTTAGTAAAGCTCAGCAAGGCACATTTGTGACTTAGCTTTATTCTTTGGTTGCCAAGAAATGTACATTCATGTATGTGTGTGTGTGAGTGTGTGTGTTACTTTAACAGAACCTTCCTTCTTTAGATTGGACATTCAGTCCTTCAAGATAATGAGGAATATCAAATTATATCTAGAAATATGCTTTTGAGACATGAACAAAACATACTTTTTCTGAGAAAATGAATGAGCAAAACTCAGTTGTTAGCTAGAATACTGATTATTCCATATTCTAATTCCAATGTATTTGTGTCTTGAGGCTCAACACCTGCTTACTGAGCCATCAGAGTCCTGTCATGGCATCTAAACTGCAATTGAGTCACTGTCACACATAAATTAAAAGGTTATGGTGGATGAATCATATCTGAAGAAGCAGTTTCAGTAGCATAAACATTTCTTCTTCCTCTCTCCCATGTGGGTGAAGTAGGTGTGCGAACTCCCCTGCATCCCCTCTCCATCCCATCATTAGAAAGTGGCCATAAACCTTGCATAACCTGTTTTATGTCCTTGTCTAACCAAATGCCTGATTTTTCTAGCAACTGTCAAGTTAATGAACCACAGGGTCACTCTGGACTGTCTTAAATGAAGGCAAGATGTTTGGGATACATGGCATTAAGGGATGGAGCCATAACAGTATGTGATCAGTGAAACTGCCATCATTCAAATAAAATAATGACAACTTTGTCCTTTATAAGTGTCAAAATTATTAAAAGGGGCAATGACTTTGCTCTGTTCCCACACTCTTTATTGATAGACTAGACACTACACAAGAGAACAGGAAGTCAATAAATGGACAAAGGACAGACCAATCCTCAGAGTCACTTCCTAGTCCACTGAATAGCCATTCAATATTATGGTAAGGGAACATGAAGTGGAGAAAGCAAGGAGAGGAATTGCAGGAGAGATAGGAGAAAGGAGATATGAGTGATCAAGAGGAAATGTATTCATCGATATGTATACAGTACAATGAAATCCATTACACAATGTTTGAAAGGAAACACAGAAATATATTGGAGAAGGTGAATTTGTTCAAGTTGGATCCTACACATTTTGGGGAATATGACAATGAAATCTATGCATCTTGTGAATATGTGCTAATGTTTTATACATGACATTTTATCCATTCATTGATCATTGGAGATCATCATTTGGCTATCGTGATCAGAGTTACAATGAACATGAGAATGAAAGTGTGTTTCTTTCTTTTTTTTTTTTTCGTTTTTGTCGGTCATGGGGCCTGAACTCTGGGCCTGGGGGCTGTCCTTCAGCTCTTCAGCTCAAGGCTAGCGCTCTACCCCTTGAGCCACAGTGCCACTTCCAGCTTTTTCGGCTTATGTGGTGCTGAGGAATCGAACCCAGGGCCTCATGTATGCAAGGCAAGCACTCTAACACGGAGCCACCTTCCCAGCACCTGTGTTTCTTTTGTTCTGAGTTATCACCTTTAGATACATGTCTAAGAGGGGTTTGGCGGGGTTATAAAGTAAGTTTATTATTACTTTTTGTTTTAAGTTAGTTAAAATAATAATCCCAACAGAGATGTTGAAGTTCCAAGTTTCAGATCCTAACCGAAGCATCTACAAACAGAAAAGGGAAAATTGTTTTCTTTGTCTTCTCCTTTCTAACTAAGCGAAATATTTCTTCATTACAATGATTGAAACAGGTGTAAACTTTCAGAATAATTTCATAGAGAGTATGTAATTACTATAGTTGGGTTAGATTAGTCAAGACTCATCACAGTAAGAAACAAGGACACCCTGAAGCCTAGCTCCACAGAGACCTAAGCTAGCCTGCAAATGAACATCTCCAAAGCATAAGTAGAAGGTAATAAGATAACATTATGGAAGCGAATGACAGTACAATGACCACATTATGTGCATATATATCTATATATATTTCAAGTGATTTACATTTTAGGGGTAAATACCACAGCATCAAGTTATATCATTCATAATATATTCAAATGAACTAACATTCATATGTTGAACATTTGCAGACTTCCAATGACACCTTTGAAATTCCTCTCATGTTGTCTGGAAACATAGTTTTAAGGAAAAGACTCAATTATGAAGATAAGACTCGATACTATGTCATCATCCAAGCCAATGTGAGTACTCCCTCCTGACTTTTGGTTTATGAACTTATGAAGGAAAGAATGCATGTAAATGTGTCTGGTGATCGTATGGTGGGTGAGGAGATTACATCCTTCACATTATTACTGTACTTTGTGGAAGTTACATATCCTATTCTTCCAGATGGGCAACACAGGGAATGTGTTTAGCAAATCAAACCCACAAAACATGTCATTCACCCACTAAATCATCCTCTAATGTACTATCCATACTCCAATAATGCTTTTGGCTCACACTGAGTATCTTTAAAATATGATCCACCAAGCAGTTCCAGTACTGTCATCCTGGGAGTGTATTATAAAAGCAGTTTTCTAGAGCCTATCCAAGAAGTTCTAAGTTAAAAAATCTCAGAGGGAGGATGGAAATGATCTACATTTTGCTTGATGTATAAAACTCATTTTAAAAGTACACTTTCAGAGTTCAGTTCTAAACAGGTTTTCAGGAATACTCCTCAACCCTATTTCCCCTTCCTTCTTCCTCCTTCTTATTTGAGAACTAAGTCTGAATTTTAAACCCACTGTATCATTCCTTCCAGTTACTTCAGTATTTTCTGGGGAATACTTTGAAATGGAAGGCTCCACTTCTAAAATCACTGACTAAGGCAGCAATATTGGCTTTGTACGTTTTAAATAAAGAAATACAGCAAAATCAAGTTAGTAGGATATTATTTTAAATATTGGTTAGTAATATGCCAGCTATCATGTATAAAAAGACATATATCAAGTATAAAAAGATGAATCCCTGTGTGCTGTTAGGTAACTGACTCAGGGCTATTCTAAATTTGCTGCTTTTTTCTTTCTTTCTCTACTGCAAATTCCTGTTATGATACAATATTTACTACATGGATCTACAAATGACACTGATAAGTGTTTCTAACCATTTTGCTCAACCAATGAACTACTTTAATGTTTTATATTTAAATGTTTTGGATCTATCCTGAGGGTTCTTACATGGCTGGAAAATAAGCCCAAAATAAGCTTGACTGACTCAATATCAAGTTTCATTTAAGTCATGTTATTTGTTGGACTCCACATTTGTCTTTGACCTATTTCCAAAAACAGTATTTATATAGCAAACTGCTAAACATAAAACACATGCTAAGTGACTTTAAAAAAAGCAGTATTTATGGGCTGGGAAGGTGGCTCAGTGGTAGAGTGCTTGCCTTGCATGCATGAGGCCCTGGGTTCGATATCTCAGCACCACATAAGCAGAAAAAGCTGATAGTGGCACAGTGGCTCAAGTGGTAGAGCACTAGCCTTGAGCTGAAGAGTTGAGGGACAGCGCCCAGGCCCAGAGTTCAGGCCCCACAACTGGCAAAAAAAAAAAAAAAAAGCAGTATTTTTCATTCAAATTTCATGAATGAAAAGTTTGCAAGAAAACTAATTTCCCACAAGAAACATGTTCAGTTAAGATGAAAAAATTAAACACTTATGCAACATCTAACAATGTGAGGTTTTTCCCAAACTTCCCATTACAATGGCTTATGTCTTTTAGTTTTCTATACCTACCACAGGTAAAGAGTAGATTGTCATGGTGAACAAGCTGCAATGTACTTAGAACACAGTAGCTTTGTTGCATCTCCCAGGTTTTTGTTTTTTTCTGAATGCATTAATAAAATTTCCAACTAGCTTGTAAACCATATGTGGTGCATTTGATTCGTGTGATATGATATTACACTACGATTTAGAAAAAAAAATTACACATGGCATGAAGATCTTATGTGTGCTGTTATAACTACTATGTATTTTTATTTCCACAGGACCGTGCACAAAATCTGAATGAACGGAGAACGACCACCACCACTCTCACAGTGGATGTCCTAGATGGAGACGACTTGGGTCCAATGTTTCTTCCTTGCGTCCTTGTGCCAAACACTCGGGATTGCCGCCCTGTCACCTACCAAGCTGTCATACCTGAATTGAGAACTCCGGTAAATATGCTCTCAAATTGTCCATTTTACTTAAAACACCAAACGCGTTAGGCCACGGTTGAAATATTTTGCTGGTGTATTTATTGACAATGACAAGATTCACTAGAACTGTGTTGAAAATAGTTTTGTCCACAAATACTTTCAGAGAATATGGATTGATTTCTGTTTGCTGCATAATCACATCATTTACAACCTGGAAAATACATCACTGAGCAACAATGGTTCTGACACTGATTCTTTTATGTCTTCCACCAATACATTACAGCAGAGTTCAGTTGCCAAACGTATTTGGGAACTTCTAAGAAGTCTTGCTCTCATTTCACTAAAGTCAAGATACATAATATACAATAACCTAAATTTTGTGAATTGTGCTAAGCTCTTCACACAGATTAATTGACTGAATGTGTGAAAGACCCTTTTTGCAGAGGTACCACTGTTAAGAAGCTTTCAGACAAATTCATAGAAGTTATGTAAATCACCATGATTATGTTTCTCATTAGTGTTTGTTTGTGTTTGTGTGTGTATATAAACAAATTTCAGATTTAAGAAGAATAATATAGTTAATACACATTTGAGGCCTGATTTTACATATAAAAAGCAGAGCCGACATATAAACTGGGTTATACTGGAAAATGAATCTATAGATTGACACTGTAATGTTCCATGTGACTGTGACTCATCCTCCTCATGACTGAATTATCAGTTACTTAGTCTTCAGTTGGCAAACAAGAATTTATTATACTGCCTGACACTGGTGATTGCCACCTGTAATCGAAGTTACTCAGGAGAATGAGATATGAGCATCATATTTCAAAGCCAGCCCGAGCAGGAAGGTCTTTGTTAGTCTTACATCCAATAAAACTACAAAAGGAAAATAAAAGCAGAAAATAGATCTGTGGCTGAAGTGGGAGAGCACTAACCTTGAGCTAGACCTCAGGGACAGTGTCCTGAGTTCAAGTCTCAGGTCAGTCACATAAGATCTTAATGCCATGTGTAATTTTTTCCAAATTATAGTATAATACATCACACGAATCATATATATAAATGTATATATATGACTAGCATGAGGAGAATGAAAGCTCAATCAAGAACTTGCTCATGTTCTGAATCTTAGGAGAGTGGATTGATGAACTGGGTAGATTCTTGCTGCTTCTAACAAATACAAGAAAGCTGATCTTTAAATATCTCTTGTATATGGCTTTAAAATACTTTAAAAATTACATTTTATGCTAAAATTTCAATGCAGCTGATCCTTATAGTCACTATCATGTTAAACATATTTGGCCATTCTTTAACACTCTGGGAAACAAAGAATTTATTCTCAAACATTTAATAAGTGTGCGTAATATTTGTTACTTAGGAGGTTATTTTTATTCCCTTGATGACAAATATTTGATTACAATGTCCATAAAAAAATAAACTCTAACTGTAATGACCTAGTATTTTTCTAAAGCCAAAAATTCTGTAGGACTTAAGGGATCATCTCATCTTTGTTTCATATGACTTCACTTGGTACACTGTACCTGAAGGCTGGGTTCCACTCATAAGACAGTTAACTCCGATTGGCTGCTGGTTATTGGCTGGTACTCAGCCAGGGCTGTGGGCTGAGCTTCTTGGAGTGTTAGGGTTTGTTCACAGTGAAATAGATGTTTGATGTTTGAAAGATTGGCTTCCCAAGAAAAATTAGCTGAAGATTTTATGAACAAAGCTGTAGAACTTACAGTTACTTTGTCGTCATGAAGCTACCCTTAGCTCAACAGATAGGGAAATATTCCCTCTCCCTATGGGAAGAGCTCCCAAGTCCATATAGTCAAATACATCCATACAGTAAAGAAAATTGCACTGTGGAAATCTTTGCTAAATAAATCCAGGATTGTAGTTTCCTATACTCTTGTTCACATTATTCTAAATGAGTTTGGGATTACTAGTGGGGAACTAGAGTTTGTTTTGAATTTCACACTGTTATTGTTGCATTTATGGTCTAATGTTTCATTCTTTTGATTTTTTCCCCTATTTTCTTTTATATATCCTGCTAAAATCTAGGAAATTTCCATGAGTATGTTCTTTCTATTCAGTGAGGCAAACAGTTATGCCATCTAAACAGAACATGCTGACTCTAATTGCATACTTGCTGATACTTTCTAGAAATAATTCTTTCAATTTTTAAAGCTTTGCATCTATTCATCTATTGCACTGACATGTAATTTTCTACTAGGTACCTCAGAATTATTCTTAACCCTTACGACATGTAGAACATATCAGCTCATAAAACCCTTTAAGGATTAAATTCAGTATAGTTTAAGTAGCATATTTGACTCATAAATCAGGATGTAAAAAAGAAAAAAAATCAACTTCATATTAAAAATGTGATACCTGGCACCAGCGATTCACACATATAATCCTAGCTACTTAGGAGGCTGAGATCTGAGGATTGTGGTTCAAAGCCAGCCTGGGCAGGAAAGTCCATAAACCACTCAGAACACTGGAAGTGGCACTGTGGCTTAACTGGTAGAGCACTAACGTTGACCTGAGGGACAGTGCCCAGGCCCAGAGTTCAAGCTCAACGAATGACAAAAAAAATGTGACAATATGTTTATTAATACAATTATTTATGAAGATAGATAATATGTTATTTTTAACACAAATAACTGTCCTGTCCTTAACACTAATTAAAATCTTCATAGACATAAGATTTATCATATATTAGATGTAGAAATACATATCTGGAATCCCATAGTTTTCATATCATTGCCATTTTTCTATTATTTATTCAATAAATATCTACTGGATCATAATATAATATATGCAACAATTTCTTCTTAGGGACCTATATAATTGAGTCAGAAAAAAAATCTTATCAAAATATATTATTATGTAAATTTATGCTCATTTTTGTGGCTCATTAAAATTTTATTATGACTATAAATAGTAGATTTTCTAGTATTATGAGAAAAGTCTTTATATTTTTGAAAATAAAACCATAGATAGTTTTTCTATTTTGTAATACAGCATAGTCCCAGATATAGCACATTTTGTTACAATTGTGGGTAGATAGGTAGATTATCTCTTGCTTACTGAGAACACTAATTTATCCTTAAATAAGTCCATGAATACATAGTGTAGTTTATCTTTCCTTAAATAAGAACACTGATACTCTATAAGGGTTTTTTTGGAGGGGTATTTCTTTCCTTGAATTATTATTTCACGTTTCTCTGTATATATGAATAGTTTCTCACCAGGCCTAGAAAAATATTCCTTAGTTCTGTTTTCAAGTCTTGGATTTAATCCTAATAACCAGCAGGCACAAATACTTTTACTTAAGTCTATGACATAATAAAGTCTAATTTTTATGTAACTGTCAAGTGTAGTTCTTTTGGTTTATCATTATCATTATCTCCCTCTCCAGGAAATATTTTCAGTTATTAAGAGAATGCTGAGAATTTGTAGCAATCTTCAACACTTATACTTTCTCCTAGTCTCATACATTCCTTAAATGTGTTATCTTCTAGGAATTCCTCCTTTCATGGTTGTTATGGTACCACTTGTACTTCTTAATTTGATGGCTATGGTTTCATTCTCTTAAATATTTAATGCCACAAAACAACAACAACAACAACAACAAAAACCCCTCTCAGCCAGCCTTGGTGGCCCATGCCTGTAATCCTAGCTACTCAGGAAGCTGAGATCTAAGGATTGCGGCTCAAAGCCAGCCCGGGCAAAAAAGGACATGAGACTCTTATCTCCACTTACCACCAGGAAACCAGAAGTGGCACTGTGGCGCAAGTGGTAGAGCACTAGCCTTGAGCTGAAGAGCTGAGGGACAGCACCCAGGCCCAGAGATTCAAGCCCCACAACCAACAAAAAAACAAAAAATAGAACAAACCCAAAAAGAAAACAAAAAAAACACCTCTCCTCTTGCATGCTTACTTGGCTTATTTTCAAATTTTAGGGATTTTCCAGGCCTCAGGTTTTCATAGTATTTATTTCTCACTGAAGTTTCCACCTAGACTGAGATGAAGCTAGGAATCTGCATCTCATACCTACAATCCTAGCTATGCAGGAAAATGAAATCCTGAGAATCACAATAGAAGGCAGAAGGAGCAGGAAAGACCTTCACACTCCTCTAAAACAGCGAATGAAAAGCTGGTCTGGAGGCATGGCTCAACAGAGGCTTTAATGACCCCCACCTGTGTATCAGTCCCAATGAATCTCTGAGGACATATTCTATATTGCAAGATCCAATATTGTTCAAATAGCTTGGACAACTGTCTTATTTCCAAAGCCAACTTACTTATTTAAAAATGTACGCTTTCCCAGCTTTCTACTCTTCTTCTAATCATCTCATATTGAAGCCAAATTTACTTTTTCAAATATAATTCTTGTTTGAACATTTGCTACTTAAAATACAACTTTTAGTGTTTTCAACTATATATCAAACAAATCCCCAAGCGTTCAACATATTATTCGAAGTATTTCTATGAGCATTTCTAACTTGAAATAAATAACACAATGAGGCATCCAAAACATTACATGTGGTTCTCAACTTTTCAGGAAATGTCCTGTCCTTCTCTCTAACTTGGTTTCATACATTAAGCATACATTTGATATTCAAGGTTCATCCTAAAATGTTAGAACCACCAAATTAAGAGATTTTTGCTTATATTTCCACAAATATTTTCAATACAAATATCAATTTTTAGCTGTACATGGGTATTTACACATTTCTCTTTCATTATCTGAATTTCTCTCTCTCTCTCTTTCTTTCTCTCTCTCTCTCTGCTGCTCTTTCTCTCTTTTTATTTCTTAATTCCTTCTTTATTTTGTTGGCTCATTGTGTAGCTCAGTCTGGACTATAAATTGCTATGTAGTCCAGGCTGACCTGGATTTCTTTATTTTGCTGTATCAGCTTTCTTAAATACTGGGTATCTGCTAGTGCATTTCTTTTTACATTTCTATTTCTTTTTATTTTATTCTAATTTGAAACACACTGGCATCAAATA